TAAAATATAATGAGAATTAATAACAGGTGTGTAAATAACGCTATGACACTGGTTTGCAAAAAAATAATTTTATAACAATAATAATCTGTTCAAGTAATTACCAAGATAACGTCGAACTAAATACTTATCAAAGTCAAAGTCAATGCCAAATTATTATGGCTTTCGTGTGTGACAAGGCTTTCTTCAGATAAAAAAAATTAATTGATCTTGTTGAGGCGCCGAAATTTAATTTATAATTACCTACAATGTAAAATTAAAAATAGCAAACATTTCCAAACGGCTATTGTTGCGATAGGTCTGTCCAGAGCATAGACGTTGTCCCAAGATACCTGACCACTTAGCGGACCAGGATCCCGATTCAGAGCTATTTAGAACATTCGAGTTAAAACATTCGATTCAGGTACAATATCGTTATCCAATAACGTTTATGGAGTTAGTCGACGAATATAGATAATAAAAAAAAATCCTTTTCTATACATTTGTAAGACTATAAAGGCCTAAAATATTGAATGCATTAGTCTTGCATTAAAATAAATTAATAAAATTGAATAAAATCCAGATTTTATTTAAAATAATAAAAGATTATCGTAATATGATAATTTTTGCTTTGTAAACAATAGGATGGTCGGTAACTTTCATTCGACAACTGTGTTCTGAATAACGTTTGTAGCGTTTGCCGGTCGAGAAGTATGAGTAACCGTACGGGTGTGACGTCATTTCGGTTCGGTTTCGAATACGATAGTTTTACGTTCGATTCGGTTATTGTGAATAAAAAAGAAAAGAAATGTTGCGATATCTAATTGAAATGGTCGATAACAGAGTTATCGTAAGGTTCTGAATCGACCTGCGGTTCTGAGAGTTTTCTCGTGCGTTTATGATTAAAAGTATTATGTATTTAAGTACCTACACATTTAAGATTAAATTGTCTTATAACATAATTCACTAATGATGCAATAAGGAACCTTTCTTTACCATAGTACCATCTGACAGTTCCATTGATGGTACAAGTCGTATCAAAATGAATTTTACGGCTCAGTGGTCAAAGGTTAAGTTTGTTTAACACTTTTCTTCACACTTATATACTCAGCAGCTTGATTTTGATTGCCTCTCCCGATCGGAAACTGCGTCTCTTCCGAGTTGAGGCGCATAATTGCAATTCACAACTGGCCGATTGGAAACATTTGACATTTCTAATCGAAATAATAGTGTATTTAACTCACAAATTAGAAAGATATACTGCCCTCAGAACGAAAAAAGGCACAACTGCTGTATAAAGTACGCATAGTTGTGCCTTTTTTCGTTAGGAGGGCAGTATAGTAGGAATCAGGTTAATCTTCTCGCTCAGAAACGCATCTGATTTCGAGACATTTTTGAAAATTTGAGATTTTTGCAAAGATGAAAGAAGTATTGTTGGTTGATACTTAATTTGGTCTGTGAAATCAGCTTTTTATTCATATCACCTTAATAATAGATATTTCTAGCATATTTGAGCCTATGCCTACTGAAAACGATTTGTAAAAAAAGCAAGGGGAAAGGCTATTCATTCTTATTTTATTTTATTAATATTCATGTTAATTCGTCGAATTCAAAAATTTATGTCTTTTTATAATTTGCAGGTAAATTTAAGTTACTGTCATTCTGTATGATAAGTATTAGGATGTCACAGCCTGATCTGAAAAAGCTTTTAAGTCCATGCAATAAGAGCGGAAAAGAGAGTTCGTTTTGCTTGGGCGGAAGCAAAACGTGCAACATATTTTTCGCCCTTAATGCATATATATAAGGCTTTTTGTATTTATAGTACAAAAATAGTAGTAGTTTTGACTTGATTGAACTGTACAAAAGGGGGCACTATGGAAACTCGACTTAGTAAATGTTTAAAGATTTTTATTGTTTTAAATTGTTTAGCATTTGTTTCGGATAGATTGGATATAAATAAACACTTTTTGTTCTTATTAATTTTTCTATGTGGGAGATGATTTTTGAGAAAATAAAGGAGGACAATTTAATTTATATTTAAAACATATTCAGAAAGGCATAAAATTCGGTTCTATCACTGGCCGGTCGCTGCCTCTGCACGCTCGGCATTAAAAAGAATTTAAAACAAAATTTTTAAAAAACTTTAAAAAATTTCTATGTCTAGCTTCCATAATGCCCCCTTTCCTACCTTCTGACCCGACTCCCTTAATTTTAAATAATATTTATTTTACTTACTTAACAAACGACATGTTCCTTATATTTTCTAAAGTCAGGAGCACTCCTGAAGAGTTCCAGACGTTGAAACTGAACGCCGGTACTCCGTAACTGAGATTGTAAAATATCACATATTCTGCTTTTAATAAAGTTTGGCAACTTTTATCCGGAGTTTCTAAGAATGTTTCCTTTTTAATGTAAGACCTGCAAATATCTTTATTGTCTTTGTAAAGTGTCCAGCCGTCGCAAATTCTATCTGATACTTTCACAAATTTGTCAGCTGCATCTATAAACTCTTCAGCGGTTATTGAATTGCACTCTGAAGTGCTCATCTTGACTATAATGTACAAATTAGTAAACTCCTAGACTTCAAATACAAATTCATGTAAGACATGGCAAACATTGACTTATGGCAAAGTAATTTGTTTAACCAAAACATAACAAAGGTTTTTTCGTATTTAGAGTTTCACTTCACTTTTTATTTTTATGGCTCCATCAATATGAGAACTGATGATTTTGCCAATGTCACAGTTGAAAGAAAAAAAACGAAACAAAAAAAAAAATTTTCGCTAAGCTCTAATAGGACATTAACCGGTGTTGGTAAGTTGGACTAGCGGGAGTACTCAGTTGAGAATGTAAAACAAAACAACAAAACAATACATATTTATAAATATATGTTATTTAAGTGGATAAATTTACATAGAGTAACAATATGGGGGGAGAACACTAAAGTTAAGAGGTTGTTTATGTTAATGGGGCGGGGGAATTTTGGAGAAAGTAAGTTATAAAGTGGAACAGCAATATTAGGACAATTGAAAAAAATGTGTTCCAAGGTACCGTCTTCTAGGCCGCACTCGCACAGAGAGTGATCGGTTTTTTCAGTAGTCTGTACTGAGATTATATTGAAATCCGTTACCGGAAAGTGCGCGACACCGGATCCATCCCTTAGTTTTGCCACCCTTAGATGTAGAATAATTTCTTCAAATTTAAATGGGACCAATATTGAGGTACCCTCTTTCCAACAAAAAAGGATTATCAAAATTAGTTCACAAATGCCGGAGTAATCGCGTAACATACATACAAAAATAATACAGTCGAATGAGAACATCCTCCTTTTTTAAGTACTTATATGATGAGAAGAGTAGAACCATTTGCATACTCGAATAAATGGGTTCAAAATTGAACAATTTTAACAACAACAATTTTATTTAAAAATATTGGAAAAATATCGGGAAAATATTTATTTTTATGAAAAAGATGATATTTTTGAAAATGGAAATTTTTCCATGAGCCAACACTATGCCAGTGACATAACAATGATAGTTTGTGTTCCAGGTGGTCGTATTCCAGAACTCTACTAAATGCTCAAGTCAGGACTTGAGTATGATTTTAAGCACTGGAAATACGACCGTAATGGCAAGGACTTGAGTATGGGTCGTATTCCAGAACTCTACTCAATGCTCAAGTCAGGACTTGAGTATTGCAGTGAGCACTGAAAATCATACTCGAGTCCTTGCCATTAGGGTCGTATTTCCAGTGCTTGAAATCATACTCAAGTCTGCTCAAATCCTGACTTGAGCATTGAGTAGAGTTCTGGAATACTAACCTATGAGTGCTTGAAATCATACTCAAGTCGTGACTTGAGCATTGAGTAGAGTTCTGGAATACGACTCTCAGTGAGAGAAAAATGGCGGGCTTTTGAAGTATACGTAGTATCTTCCCCTTAATCTGTGGTTACAAGTACAACTTTTACAAATATTTTATTTTTATTTTATGTATAATATGAAAAAAACGAAGAAAGAAATGGTGATGAAGAAAGTTACAACTATAGTCCTTATTTCAAACCAAATTACATAAGACTTTATCCTAAAAATATCAATAATTACGAATTCAAAACTTTTGTTCAAAGTTTCAAAGTTATAGAAGATAATGTGATTTAAGTGAAAGTGAAAACATTACTGAGTCCCGCCGCTTAAGACTATTTAAAAAACCCAAATAAGTGAATGAAGTTACCTAAGAGAAAGTGGAAACATAATGTATTAGAACCACAATGGAAAATATTACTGATGATCCCGATAATAATGGACATAGTTATGCAAACTAGAACCAACCCACGAAATGTCACTTTCGAGATAATTAGATTTTTGTAAAAACAGTGTGAAGAAATAAATAGGTACGTTATTTGAGATAAACAACGTGAGTTATATGTAGCATTGAGAATGATATAGGGAAACTATTATATTATACAACAATAAATAGAAAACATTATGTATTTTTTTATTTCGTTAACGAAAACCATGTTCTAGTTTTCGTAATAAAAACGCTAAAGATCTATAGTACTTCACTACATATGACATGGATCTATTTAGCATATTTTAAAAAATACATTATGAAGTTAAGCAGTATGGTTCTTTTTAGCTATTAAAAAGTTACTTATTTAGAGTTGGTACCCTGAAGGACTTTTATCTTCTCCGTTTTGGCTTGGTATATTGCCAGGATTGTTTGTGAGCGGGTAAAGGACACGTCTGGTGTTCTACCTAAATCCATAACTCAATTTCATTCGAGGTGTGGGTTGGTTCTTGTTTGCATAACTATGTCCAATTAAACGAAGACATGGCTCAAAAGACTTTTATCCAAGCCAAAACTCTTAATAAAAAAATGATGTTTGACAGTGGTTGCTTTGGTTTCTACGTCTATGGGTTCAGTTTGGTTTGACAATTGACAGTTGTTTTTATTATTGTGATTTGGTTTGGTATTCGTTGCTTGCGAAGCGTCTATAAATTTTGACGATTATCTGTAATTTTCTAAACATAACTAATGCCAGAAAGTTTAAACTATAAGGACATAGTACATTTTAAGAAACTATTTAAATTAACGACAAAGCAACCAACATAAATCATGAATTTAGAACTGCTTGGTAAGTGAGAATATTTCGTATTTTTGTTGTCATTGAAATTTAATGTAATATTGCATTAACCCCTTCACGTCTTATAAACAATATTGTTTATAATAAAAATTTTTATTTCTTGCAGAATCATTTGGTCAAAACTATCCAGAGGTAAGTAAGATTTTCTACTTGTAAATTTACTATCTAAAATGTATACTTTCTGTAACTTCAACGTTTTAACTTATTACAAACCGTATTTATTATTTGGGCAATTTCTAATTACAAATAATAAAAACTTACAGGAATTTGATGGTACCCTAGACTCGATATCGTTAGCTGCAACCTGCGCATTCAACCGCCGTGGCACATTGCTGGCAGTAGGCTGCAACGACGGTCGTATCTTCATATGGGACTTTCTCACACGGGGTATTGCTAAGTCTATATCCGCACATGTGTACCCTGTGTGCAGTCTCAGCTGGTCTAGAAATTGTAAAAAAGTAAGCTCAATTGCATTTAAGAACATGAATTTTAATAAAATTCTTACTGCATCTCCCTCCATTATAAGGTCATATGCAGGGTTATTTTTCAAATACTAAAAACTTTACAGGACTAGATTACTAACATCACAAACAATAAGTATTGTTCTATGACTTTTGACAGAACATAATAAATTTACCAAAATTAAACTAATTCAGATTTTTTTTGTACACTTGTTACAGTTTTTAGATCTGTATTTGGTAGTAGGGTTGTCGCAGATGCAGGTTTTTTACATATCAGTGGATGCTGATGTGGATACTAATTGTTCAATCTTAACATCAGTGGATGCTGTTGCTGATGTTGACTTAAATTAAACAATGTTGAGAAATATTCAGATTGTTATTGAATCTACTTAAAAAAGCTTTAGTTTTGAAATAAAAGATTAAAATTTGTGTATTTGACATTTATTAACAAAAGAATCAAACTTTGTAAAGCATTAGCTTCGTCATATTGGAATTTTAATATAGTAATGTAATATTTTAAAAATAACAAGTGAGCTGGTTTTTCAGCGTGCAATCTGTTTCTGGAAGGATTGTAAATGATTTCAGCACTGCTGAATAGTTGTTTGCTAGGAACACTCACTGGTGGTGGTGACAAAAGGTGGTGTTTGAGCCATCCTCGATAGATCACAATAATTATGTCCATACAATCATGGCTCCTCCAATCAAGTGGGTTTTGTGACACAATAAGTATTTTTTCCTTGCAGTACTTTTCCAATTGCCCCTTTAGTTCCAATTCATGCTGCAAAGTTAATCTGGACTCTCTACTGGCTGATTTGAGTCTTCTATAAGCAAGGGCAGTTCATGTTCTTTTTGGTTCTGTTCTGCTGAAAATCAGCAATGAACATCAGCATCGATCAATGTGCTGATGTTGATGCGGATATTTTAATTTATGCGCATTATCCGCGGATGCTGATATTCGCAACAACCGTGTTTGGTAGTAAGCTAGCAAGTTCAAAAATGCAAGCGTCATCTTCGACGACTCACACAGTGTTATCGCCATTGAGAGAGCTCTATTTAAATATTTTTATATCTTTAAAAAGTAAAATCGGACGAATTATTAAAAGTCATGGAACAAAAGATGTTATTTATGATATTAGTATACATTCCTGTAAGGTTATTAGTATTTTACAAATGACCCTGTATAACATGCCAAAAACACAAATAAAATTTTCCTCAATTTGTTTGGGCTTGAACTAGCATCTGTTGCCATGCTAGTGCCACCACTCTTACAGACTGTGTTTGTAGCTCAGTTGGTCAGAGTCCAGTATGACCGAAGGATTTTTTCTGTGTGTTGTTTGATCTTTGTATCAATAATATTGACAAACTAGTGGAGCATTTTCACTAAAAATTTATGAATATTGTGGTGGTAAAGCATCATAATATTCAATAAATAGATATTGTGTCTAATATCATTAATAAATTTATTTCATTGGATTACTTTGACCAATCAAATGATTACATATACATAAGCCACTTTTCATCAGTACTTTAAAAATACATTATTAGTCCTGTATTAATTTTTAATTGGGTTTACTTGATAAAAG